GCGGCTATTATTTCCAATTGCTTCCAATGCTACTGCTTGGAGAGGTAGTTTAACTGAAGCGTTTAGTTTGAATATACAAAGCGCAGGAAAGCATAATAATAATCGAACGAAAGTTTATCTGTAAAGCTGATTTTTAAATTTACATATTATTACATCGTGGCATCGTGCTACATATATTACTACAAATCGTGTTGTATGGTATACGAGGTGTGATCAAAAAGTAAGGTTCACAGTTTTGACTATATAGCATGTGTTGTTTTTATGTGAGAGGCATAAAGGTTAGACTCGTGTTTGCGTGCTCGGCGATTTTTTGCTGTTGAAAATAATGGAGCAGAGAGTTTGTATTAATTTTTGTGTAAAAAATGGTATTAAGTGTTCAAAAACTCTTGAAATGTTGACAGTGGCGTACGGTGAGTCAACTTTGAGCAAAAAAAATGTTTATAAATGGTATAAGTTATTCCAAGAGGGCCGAGAAAATGTTAACGATGAACCTCGCTCTGGACGCCCCAGCACGTCAAAAACCGACGAAAATGTTCAGGAAGTGAAAGAAATTGTGTTGAAAAATCGTCGAATCACGATTAGAGAAATAGCTGATGATCTTAACATATCGTTTGGCTCATGCCAATCAATTTTAACGGATGTTTTGGGTATGACACGTGTGTCAGCGAAATTCGTTCCAAAACTGCTTAATTTTGATCAGAAGCAGCGTCGCATGAACATCGCCCAAGACATGTTGAACGACGTCAATGACGATCCTGATCTGCTCAAAAGGGTTATAACTGGTGACGAAACATGGGTATATGGTTATGACATCGAAAAAATCCTGATCTGCTCAAAAGGGTTATAACTGGTGACGAAACATGGGTATATGGTTATGACGTCGAAAAAAAAAGCCCAATCATCTCAGTGGAAGAGCCCAGGAGAGCCAAGACCGAAAAAGGCACGCCAAGTTCGTTCGAATGTGAAAGTTTTGCTCACAGTTTTCTTTGATTACCATGGCATTGTGCATCAAGAATTCCTACCACAAGGTCGTACGGTAAACAAGGAGTATTACCTTAAGGTTATGCGGCGTTTGCGTGAATCAATAAGAAAAAAACGTCCGGAAG